TATATATATAGTTTTAAATGTTCCAACAACGGGCAGAACTATGATGTCATACAAATAAAAACAGAATAAGTTGCACTTTTTGCTGCCAGTGGCCCCGTGGGGTCAGAAATTAGAGCAACACTTATCGCAGCCACTTTAATAGATCCAGAGGCACATTCAGACTGACTGACACAAACAGTCACTCAGCTCTGCCCCCCGAGCCCCCTCAGGTCTTCACTAATGAACGTCGTTAGTGTTTATAGGAAACAAGCTTTTATCACCTCGTCAAAGCTGGCGACCAGGCCCACTGAATTACACAGCTCACACACACACACACACACACACACACACACACACACACACACACACACACACACACACACACACACACAAACACATGTTCACACTGTGGCTTGCTGCCGAACATATTTTCCTGCTTTTATCATCTCCTCACATTGATTTCGATGACCATCTTCTTTTCATTTCACCTCTTTCCCAAAACCTCTTTTTATTCTGCTCAACAATCTGATTTTTTTTTTTTTTTTGGTCTTCTGTCTCTCTCCCAAGTGCTGAATTACTTTGCATCAAATTCTGCGTGTTGTTCTCCATCTGTCTCCAATCAGAGTGCCATTAGAGGCACACACAGACAGACAACTCACCGCCTGGACTAGCAAACAGTGCGGCTCGGCTCACATGTAAGCCTGAATTCATGCGAGCATGCGCAAACTGCACGCTCACAAACTCMGCTGCAGCTGCCCGACGTGTTTGTTTGTCGCCGAGTTCCATTTCACCAAAATTGCAGAGGATTCATGCTAAAATTCAGGCAATTAACATCACCTGGATCCTTTTTCCCTCATTTATTTTTATTTATTTATTTATTTTTTTTTTAACATTTCCCAGTACATTTACACACAGAAACAGAACATATGTGCTTTTTGAGCAACGGTGAGACGTCAGTGTTTAAAATATAACGAGCAGCATGAAGTCATGTCGACTTCAGCCTCRTAGTTTTTACATCTAGGTCAATTTTAGGACGTTGTGTTTTTCTAATTTTTCTATTTTGTCAGTAAATAAAACCTGTATCTTACTGTTCTGGAATTTTTGGGCTCTAGTTTTCAGTCACATTTTTGACGGAGCCTCCAAAATGTCTCAAAAGGTTTGCAGGAGTTTCTTCATCTTTTCATATAAGTCGTACAGACTCTCAATTTTGTTTCTTTGTTTTTAATCAAGTAAAAGCCTAAGTTTATTTAAAGATTTATTTTAAATTTATTCAAATACTATAAAAACGAACTCGAGAATCAGCATTGTTTTTGCGAAAAACGCTCAAACCTGAACGATTTTTGCAGAAAAAAACAGAAAAGATGCACAAAAAGTTTGCAATTTATTGTAAAATAGCCTAAAAAAGCTGCAATTAGCAGAAAATTAGCTGAAAAAGTGAATTTAGCGCAAAGAAAAAACAGCACATGTTTGATAGTTTTGGCAGTAAGAAGCTGAAATGATCACAACAAGGTGAAATTAGCTGAAAAAAGCTAAAATTAGCTGAAAGTAGCTCAATGTGGTTTTATTTGCTAAATAACACTAAAAGAAGCAAAAAAAGCTAAAATTGGCAGAAAGAAGCTAATAGGACAAAAAATAATCAACAGATTAGCTGAAAAGGACAGAAAGATAGCTGAAATAGCAGAAGAAACTAAAATTAGCAAAAAAGAAGCTGAAGGAAGCTGAAATTATCACAAAGAAGTAAAATAAAGCAGAACCAGAACAAAARGTGAAAACTGCAGGAAAKGTTTAACYATTTTGAAGGATTTTAAGGATGTTGAAAACCGGTTCATTCAATTTCAACAAGAACAAAAATGGCAGAAAAAGCTAAATATTTCAAAGTATAAATTGCTGAAACACCAGTAGTCACAGTTGGAATGTTCCAAAGGAGCTGAAAGTTTTCASACATGAATTGTTGAAATGACACAAAAATTGTGGAACGAGGTACGTGAAGGAAAATGGGACTCGGTCGTATGAACGCTTCATTGCATTCACTCGACTGTGTCCCAAACAAAGTTTTATATACTAGTTTCTCTCAGCAAAGTTCAGCTAATTTCTAACCCCACGTTAAAAACAACAACCACCTGTGCACACGCTGCTCACATGGCCCTGTGTTCAGGCCATATGTGAGCGATTTGGAGCTACTGTGGAAGCTCTGGGCCCGTTTGAAGTTTTCCAGGGGAATGTTGAGATGGTTGTCGCAGTGTCGAGGACACAAACATTAAGCTGTCGTTTGAAGTGCTGCACAGGTCAGTCAGGCTCGATCGGACTCGGGCGGGGAGGGGGCCTAACGTCCAAACAAACCTGCAAACTCAGACAAGAAAGCCTTTACATGTCTTACTACAGCGTTCACATTAACGTACAGCTGAAGTGGGGTAAGTAAAATCCCCTCGTGCACTTTCCTTTTACTTACAACTCATAAATGACAGAGTAGGGGCCTCTTACAAAGGCTCCAGTGTTCTTGAGGGGGGAACCAGTGCCAAGAAATACCAGGCTCGCACAGACAGGCCGTTCCCCCTGCCATGGGCGCACAGACATACTGACCCAAGTTAAGTGACTGTTACCCTCAACCAGCACTTCCTGTTTACAGCTGATCACGTTTAGCTCTCAGACATCTTGTACCAATGTTCTGTGGGTAAAGTATTTATATGAATCAGTATTGGCTTACCATTGGTCACAGAAACGGTATGCTACCCAAAAAGCTGTGGTTGTGACCCCAATGTGAGTCATAAAACAACAATGAAGTGTTCCTGAGATCTTCAGAACTCAACCTAAGCTTAAAAATGACCAATAGTTTAGTTTTTGACTTGGATAAAACTGGAAATTGAAAGTTAGTTTGGCTCACATAATTGTTTATTGTTTATTAGAAAGGGTCTTGATTACCGGTAGTCCTCGCTTGGGATAAGACTATTTTTCCTGGTGTCCACGAGTAAAACAAATACATTAAAACAAAAAACAATAAATAAACACATTGTTTCCCATTACTAGAATAATGATGCATAAAATTAAGAACTAATTCATCAAAACCAAATGTTGATAACTACACAAGTCAACCCATCACCTTAATAGATAGATAGACAGACTCCCGTACTTAAACTAAAATCACAACCAGTCCTTTAGCTCTGTTCTGATCAAATTTATCCAGATCTTTTCATGTTGCACCAGAACAAACTACTTGGCAGTAGTCAAGATGACGTCAAACTAAAGCCTGCACCACCATCTTCTTTATTTTGGGAGATCTGAAATAAGATTTACAACAAATTTATTGAAATATTTCTACTCGTTTTAGTCACAATCTTCTGAATATACAGTATGTAGACCATGATAATGTTTWATCAGCTATCACTTCCAGCAGTTTAACTTCTTTCCCTTGTTCTATTTGTTGCTTATTTAAATGAATACTTAACATTAGAGTTTGTTTGACAAAATATGTAGAATCCAATACCACATCCCTGTTGACTCCTTAGGTTTTAACCTGTTCTCAGACAATAGTTCTTGTAGCAAAGCCCTATTTACCTGATTAAACCAATCAGAAGATTCATATATTGTATTATCTTCATAAACAATACACAGGGTTCATGCAGGGTCTTAAAAAGTCTTAAAAAGTCTAAGATTTGAAAATCAAAATTTTAGGCCTAAAAAATGTCTTAAAAACGCCCAAATTTTCATCCAAGGTCTTAAAATTAGTTTTGTCAAGTCTTAATTATTTTTATTTTGGATCATTCCCAGAAGCGTTGGCTGCATAAATAAACAAAGTAAAGTGCTGTAATAAGAGGTTCACGTGATCTGTCTTCATGAAAGGCTATGTTTGCTACCGGTCTTGGTACATGGTTAAACTACAAACCCTGTGAAGACTGCAGGTAAAATATGGCACAATTTACTTCCATGTTTTTGACCTCTTTGCCATTATAACCCCCGCATACGGCAGTTTGTTCACCTGCCCAAAAATAAAGAAGTTCAGTCATGTCCACTGCTTGTCGTTTAAATATGGGAAAGTGTGTTTTCAATGAGACTTGACTTGATATCAGTGATTTTTGTACTCCGTTGAAAGCGATCCACAGCAGTCGATATGAAGGTTTCAGAGATATGACCATTTCATTAAAATAGTTTAGTGTTCTTGTATTAAAATTAAATATTCTTAAATGGCTAAATTGATAGCAGTAAAAGTTTATGTTAAAATTTCTGAGACCATTTGACCGTTCCTGTTATGTGTCGGTTTGGTCTTAAATGCCATTCGTAATGGTCTTAAAAGGACATTAAAAGGTCTTAGATTTAACTTACTGAAACCTGTGTGAACCCTGAATACAACATACGGCATGTCCTTCATTAAAATAAAACAGTAAAGGACTGAGGAAGGTGCCTTGTGGAATTCCACATGGAAAGTTAAAACATTTGGACATAACACATTGTTTCCTATTATATAAACAAATATAGATACTGTAAAATTATTAGCTGAAAACCTTTTGCTTGCCATGTTTTTGGACAAAAGTCAGGTCTGCATCTGGAGGGACTCGGACAAGTAAAGATGACCAAATCTAAGTCGCACAGATTTGGCAGCTGAGCATACGTTTGAGCAAACACAGAAGTCAAACAGCCTTTAATGTGGAGCGCTATTTGAACAGTTTCATGTCCTACCCCCACTATCCACAATCTGTGTGTTTGAAGGTCAGGCTTTTTGTGATGCAGCTTTGTTTTTAAAACCATCAGTCTTCTGGGGGTCACAGTTTTCCAGGTGTGCAGAAGTATGTGCCTTGTTTCTCTTTGGTCAGTTTTAATTTGGTGCTTCACCAGATGACCCAGTGAGCTCTCCTCCAGTGTTGTGATAGCTACCAGTGTCTGCACAGCTTAACTGTGTCCAGATGAATGTCGGCGAAGGACCGGGGTCCTGTTACTAGCGCACCGAGGAGAGACGCACACAAATATAAACCCCACCTTTATAAGATGACTTTTAACCCCAACCCCAAGCTTGAAGACTTAAGCCTCTGGGATAAAAGCAGTAAAATAGCTCGAGTGAAAAACCCAGCATGCAGGTCCTTATGAGAAACACTGTGTCTGTCAGAAACTCCAGTGTTTTGTTAATGGGATAGACTCAATAGATGGGGTGCACACCTACACCCACATTCTTTCATGCCACATGGAATGAGCAGACCCAGACACACAGGAGAAAGCCTGGCACCTCTCCACCGCCGCGTGGTGAAGTAGATTTTTGCTCATGCAGGTTCTTTTTATTAAAAAGCCCTCTCCCGGAGAGTTTCTGTGGTTAGTTCCCCCTACCACCACCACCACTCTTGCTCCGGCTTTCACTCCACATTTGGGAGCCATTAGGCGGCTGAATGTGAGGCTACTGTACACACCCACACATAATGTGTGAGGCCAGGCAGGGAGGCTCAGGATTTAAAATCCACCGTTGTACAGATGTGTTTGTGTCTAAGTGGACTGAAACACAAGACTGAAAAATTGGTTCAGTGTAAAATATTGTCTCTGATAAATACCGAGCTTTTGTGTTTTCATTCCACTGTTATTTTTTAAGTTTTAAAAACAAACTTTATGTCTTTTTGCTTTTCTTTCTCTTTGTATTTGTCCCAGGCGGAAAGTTCTCCAGATGGCCCAGAGGTGGGTTACGGCTCCTTCCACCAGCAGTATTGGCTGGACGGGCAGATCGTGGCAGTGGGAGTCATTGACATCTTGCCTACCTGTGTGTCCTCTGTGTACCTGTACTACCATCCAGACTTTGCATCGCTGTCTTTAGGTTCCTACTCTGCTCTCAGGTTAGATATGAGAACCGAGTTTTATGTCAAATCATTGCTTTTATGGTGTCTGAATATTAGTATTGAGTTTGAAATTTCATATCGAGTTTCATTTTTCCTTTGTTTTTAAAGGGAACCCTGACTAGTTGTAACATTAGACATTATTTGATAAACATTTGCTTTAATTGTAAAGCAAAGACTGTAAAATACAGTGTTTAGTTTTCCATTTTAAAACATATATTGTCGCATGGACATCGCCATATTGTTTACACTTAAAATAGTTAATTGGACCAATCACGTCTTGAACAAATGCCCAAAAACGTCAAACAGACCAATCATATACTGGACAAACTTCTCCCACATAACAAAACTYCTAGTGACTGCAGCGACCCCTTTCTCATTAGCTTGGGTGATGCAAACGTTAACACACACAAATATGTGGCGACAACACCAGCACTAACGTTTTATCATTATATATGTGTATATTTGTATTTGCACGTGCACTAAAGCTATATAAATATATTTGTATTACCTCAGGTGCTACCATTATATTATCATATATGTATATATTAGTATTAGCTTGGGTGCTAACGCTATATAATCAAATATGTATATATTTGTTTTAGCTTGGTCGCTTTATCGTCATATGTATATATCAGTATTAGCTCATGCGCTAATGTTAAATATCCACRTGTATATTTTTATTAGCTTGGGTGCTATATATACAATATATATATATATATATTGTTTTTTTTTTTACTTGGATGCTAACGCTATGTTATATATGCATACGGTTGTATTAGCTATGACGCTAATAAATAATGTGTGTGAGTATGTACGTATGTATGTATGTATGTATATATGTATGTATGTACTAGCTTGGGCGCTAACACTAGCACTCTGGTTTTATCTCAAAGGGCTGAGTGCTGGATAATCTCCAAGATGAACCTTCAGGGTAGATAGAGCTCAGTAAAAACTTGCACCGGCSGAGGACCTAGAAACATGATAATTTACTCTTGTATGCTTTGTGTTGTAAATAATATGGCACCATTGTGACARTGTGTTTTTTAATAGTTTATAAAACTAAAAAACATACAGTATTTTTTGCAGTATTTTATAGTTGAAATAAATGTTTATCAAATAATGTCTAATGTTTCAGTTAGTCAGGTTTAGCTTTAAATACCTTGATTACCTTGTTGAATTGTTAATGTTTTTAGTTTTCACYCTCTCCCTGCTGTCCGTCATGTTTCAATCTCAGTCTCCTCCCAAGTTTTATTTTTAGAACTCCTTGTTGCACCATAACTACTCTTTTATTTAAAGTCAGAGAAATATGTCTTTCTTCACATTTGATTGGTGTCGGCAGAGCTGCATTTGTGGTTCGGCTGATGACAGTTCTCTCCTCCAAGACGAAACGAGAGAACACACACATCCTCGACAGGCTCACACATCCGGCATTTCCTGTAAAACGTAACTCAATACTGTGAGGGAGGCTTTTAAAAATATTTCTGCTCAGATTTGGGGACCAGAGGAACCTCGGCTTTAATTTTGGCGTGTGTAAGTGTTGTGAGTTTTTGGGCGTTTAGGCGTGTGTGTCGATGTAATCGTGCACTAAATCAGCACAGATAGGGTCAGGATATTTGCTGCTACTTTAGGAGGAACTCCTTGGTTCATCCACAGTACAGTCTGGCACCGCGTATTATGATAGTCCAAGTGTAACAGAGTTCTTTGTGTGGAAGAGGCCTTGGAAAAAAACACAACCCAGAATAGCTGAAATCTTTCCAGTTGTTTRTTGACTCTAGAAAACATATTTTTGTCTTGTAATAAGTTGGAAAATTAGTAAAATATATCTCAAGACCATTTTCCTCCTGGTTTCAATGTTTGTTGTTAGCGCTCCAAAGCTGCCAAATAATTTCATTGTTTAAAACTAAAAGAAAGTCAATCACTTTATTTTCATTTCATCCACAAAGAGACTTTTTCTAAAGTTGTACAAAGAATGGGAATGGGGAAAGAAAAATATTGTATAGGTCTTCTGGGCGGGTTMTTCTCTAATGAAACGTTTCGTCTCTCCTCCAAGAGACTTCTTCAGTCTGAGAGTTTCAGGCTAAATTCAGGCTTTTAAGCCCTGCCTCCATGTGACTGATACTCACATCACATGGCTATCGTTGACACCTAATTAACACCTATTGTTAACAGGGGGTGGAGTGAAACTGGCAATAGCAGCACTGTAGGAGGGGGACAACTGAAAACGGAGCCCTCCACCTCTGTTTAATGATGGACGGTCTTTCTTCACAAAAATGGCTTCTTTTACTCCTCTCTCAAACCAACGTTCCTCTCTATCAAGAATGAGAACATCCTCATCTCTGAAAGAGTGACCGCTGGCCTGTAAATGAGTGAAAACTGCAGAGTTCTGGCCATTAGATGTAGCTCGTCTGTGTTGGGACATTCTTTTGAACAGTGGCTGCTTTGTTTCCCCGATGTATAACTGGTCGCAGTCCTAGGCTGGTTCACCCCAAAGATCCGGTGCCCCGGCACAAACAGAGCAATRTTGTATATGCTGTTAAGTGCCAGGAGGACTGCGACCAGTTATACATCGGGGCAACAAAGCAACCACTGTTCAAAAGAATGTCCCAACACAGACGAGCTACATCTAATGGCCAGAACTCTGCAGTTTTCACTCATTTACAGGCCAGCGGTCACTCTTTCAGAGATGAGGATGTTCTCATTCTTGATAGAGAGGAACGTTGGTTTGAGAGAGGAGTAAAAGAAGMCATTTTTGTGAAGAAAGACTGTCCATCATTAAACAGAGGTGGAGGCCTCCGTTTTCAGTTGTCCCCCTCCTACAGTGCGGCTGTTGCCAGTATCACTCCACCCCCTTTAACAATAGGTGTTAATTAGGTGTCAACGATAGCCATGTGATGTGAGTATCAGTCACATGGAGGCAGGGTTTAAAAGCCTGAATTTAGCCTGAAACTCTCAGACTGAAGAAGTCTCTTGGAGGAGAGACGAAACGTTTCATTAGAGAAGAACCCGTCCAGAAGACCTATACAATTTTTTTCTTTTTGATTTTTTTTACCTGGATTACTGAGATGCATCAGGACAATGGGAATGGGGATTTCCACTCAGGCTAGTTACGTGACTACGTCTGCTACCCATGTAGCGATAGCGGCTCTATTGGTTTCAATCACAGTACGCGTTTTAGCTGAGTTTAATCTTAAATAAATGTATAAAACAGCATCAAACTCCACCGGCAGAACCATAAAACATTGTGCTATCATTCTTGTTAGAGTGACTCAGGATACAACCATCATCCCAACATAGAAGGAGTATTTTTTTCTCACTTTTCTCAAGCTAAGATGCTAGCTAATAGCTGGATTTGAGCGATGGGACAAGTTGAATTTGACCAGTAAAAAGGACAACATCTGCTCCAAACATTTTTATCAGAGGTAAAAGACCAACACAGGACCACACTGATCCTATCCTTGAACAGGTACAGCAAACCTTATGATGGTTTTACTGAAGCCTACTGCTAGCTTTACTTTCGTAGCATCCATGCTAGCTTCATACAGTGCTCTACTGCAACCAAAAACACCAACGTTTTYAACAAATCTGTTCACTTTCCAAGTCTGTCAAAGAATTCCTGAAGTCAGATGTGTCCAAATTTGCTCTACGTCTTTTTCTGCCGATTGTACGATCTTTTGAGWGAGCGKCAGATAATGTTTTTYGTGACATCATAAGTGGAGATCTTCATTTCTTGATTTTTCCCTCAAAAACTGAAAGACTGAAATATTAGCTTATAGCACAGCACCATTGGAGTTATTGAGTTGATAACCAGCTTTATAGTAGCACAAAGTGTTAGATCTCTTAAAGAAACCCTGAGTAAACTGCTTCATAGTATACAGCAACATAATACCACCTTAAATTTAATGAGTTTTCAGACCCCTCTAATTACCCTTTTTCAAAAAACCACAGCTAAAATACTTTCTGTTGTTGTTGAAGACTTTTGGAGACCGACGTAAAAACGCCCATCRTTCTTTTTACGTCACATTTCCTAAGCCTGGATGAAGGAGGAGGATTGGAATTGTGATGTTAAGACAAGAATAAAATAGTTTGTAGTTCTAAATATTTTGTGTTTTTTTACTCAATTTTTGTCTCTTTTGCAACAATATTCCTCTCTCATACAATGTCCATTACGTTACATGGATTTGGACAATTACGCAGTTTAGGTGATGATGTCATTTATTGACTTTTAGAACCACTGAAAATTACTTTTTTTTACTGAGTAGTTGGCAACACTTTATAKTTTTCTATTATCATTGAGTCATTTAATGTGGTCAACCCAACAAACGCTGCACTCTTTTTGGCACAACAAAACAATTTTCAAAAAGTTCAGAGATTTTACACAAGTATCATTTCAGCTCCTATGATTTTTAGGACATATTTGTTCGATCATAATAGAAAAAATAAACCTTTGGTTATTGTGATTGGTTAACTTTAGATTAAATGTAAGGACTTCTTTAAGATAAGAGGGTAAAAGATTTAAGATTGTAAAAKCCTGAATGTGATTCCAGAGTGAAACAGGAGAGGGGGACACTGAGGGAGGCTTTATTCAGGAGTTAAGCTCCTTCTGACACAAACCCTGATGTCTTGAGAAGGAAAAGAAGCAAACAGGCACATCAAGACGTGCCGGAGGCTCTGAAGCAGCTCGGATCACTTTTTATTCGCTGCCTCAGGCAGAAAATTCTGTTTAGTTATGAGACATCTAATATCATTTATTATTTGTTGTTTAGCTTTAATCTACTTTTGACATAAACTAAACTAATATTGTCAGAATGGGCACCAACAAATGGTGACCTAAATCATGTGTAGTTTTCAGAAAATGTGTAGTTTTACTGTGTAGAAAAGTGACACAGAGAAAATGTATTTAAGCTAAAATAAATTACTTTGTCTACAAAAGCTGTCTGATTTTTAAAATTTGCTTAGAAAGCGAAAATTAAATTGTTGAAGCTAAAAGCAGCAAAACT